TTTACTGGTATTTTAAGGTGTGGCTTGTGTTGAGGCATGAGTTTGATAATAGCTAGCTAAAATAGTGGGTTCTTTTTCACATAAGGTTCACAGGGCTTTAATATCCACGTAGCTCAACTACCTTTTGGCTGATAGTCTTCCAAGAGTAACTAGGTTGGGTACTTTGGAGGTTTACATAGGTATGAGGCTTTGAATCATCTCCTTAAGGAACTGTAACTATTGGTTAAGGTTTGTAATTGCTCCATTGTAAGGCCTACCTGTATAGGCACAGGCCAGTATGTGGGTTAGTCAGTATGGGTTTTGGTTTTAGCTTAGGTAGCTAGTTTTCCTTCCTCAGAAACTTTTTTTCTGAGCGGCATGGTGCTTAGCTCAGTTAAATAATGAATAGCCCCTACCTTGCATATCAAATGTTTGTGTTGAACTTCGAGCTAAGAGGTAAAACCTTGAGACACAAAAGAGAAATAGAGTGGCTAAAGGCAAAGGCTATAAGTTTTCCTAACGTTTGCGCTCTAACACTTAAGTTAAAAGTCGGTTAAAGAAGGGATAAAAAAGAGAAAATATAAAAGTCAAAGAGTATGAGATGTCTAGATAATACTCGAATGGTTCTATTTATAGTTAAAGGTGAGGGATTTTAGGACAGCTTAGGTTACCCACAATCAATTTTATGGTCAAAGTGACCCGACAAGTTGAGTTAATGTAAACACTAATATGTACTCAAAAAGTGACAAATCAGTACAAAAAAAAGATCCTTGGGGTAGATGGATGAGGTGGCTGTGCGAACATAACACTCTATATGTCAAGTTAGCTCAAAAATCATAAATATCTTTGACTATTTGTTAATAACCTTTAATAGAAGAAAAAGATCATTTTATTTTTTAGACTTAAAATGACCTTAATACTATTCATTCAACTAATTTAGCATGTCAATTAACTAAATTATAACAAAAATCATCGTGGATATGTGGCAATCAAAGCAACTGAATAATGGACATTATTATAGCTAAAATAATCAAAGTCTAAAATCATTAAACTATTCTAATCAAAACCACAACCGCAATAGGTTGTTCCAAATAAATATTAACCTTATAGCCCACAAAGACAAGCCTAAAACCCTAACCCATCATATGTAGTTACAATCACAAACTTTTTGATGACAAATAGAAGAAATTTATTTAAAAATAATTTTTAAAAAATATTTTAAAAAATGCAAATAGAAGCTCTTTTACATTTTGAAAGAGCCACAAAATTTTTTATGGCAAAAGGAGTTGCTACATTAGTCAACACGTCAATCAGTCCCTAAATTTTATGCCACGTGTCACCGTGAGAGCGGATTGCGTTTTTCGTCTCCAATCATCTTCAACCTCTAATTTTATTTTCTTTGAATTTAGTCCTTAATTTTCAAACGTAAAATTCTACAAGCGTATAAGTTAAAAAAAAATGCAAATAATATATATCGATGAAAAGCTTATCATACAAAGATTCTAATGGTATATAAATCATACATCTAAAACATCCGAGATAAAGAGAAAAATTAGGTCCAAATTTTGGGTCTAACATTAAGGGTTCCATTTTTCTTCATGGACATATATCATATAAAGCTTAAAATTTTCGCATATCATTAGGCATATGCACGTGTCACGGGTCGAGACTTAAGCTCTGAACCTATGCGGCTCAAGGACCCGGGCATTCACCCTTCTGGCATCCCAGATCAACCTTCCTGCCACGGTTCACACCCTTGTGAGGTATTGTCCGCTCTGGCCCCCCTGGCCCCACGGTTTTGTCCTACAAAAGGCGCCTTACAAGGTTGAGGTGGTGTGAACCCTTTTATACCCCAGTGACCCTTCTATTATGTTTGATGTGGGATTCAAGACTCCTCTTTAGGTCCATGATATTCTCCCGCACCCAACCTCGTGACGCCCTCATCACGGAGGTCGACCACTCTACCTACCTCCCTCTAGGTGCTTGGCGTGGATCGAACGGTTTAAAGCTGGCTCTGATACCACTTGTCACGGGTCGAGACTTAAGCTCCGAACCCACGTGACTCCAGGACCCAGGAATTCATCCTTTCGGCGTCTCAGATCAGCCTTCCTATCATGGTTCACACCTTTGTGAGGTACTGTCCGCTCTGGCCCCCCTGACCTCACGATTTTATCCTATAAAAGGCGCCTCACAAGGTTGAGGTGGTGTGAACCCTTTTATAACCCAGTGACCCTCCTATTATGTTCAATGTGGGATTCAGGACTCCTCCTTAGGTCAATGAGTCAATGACACACGCATCATACCACGAAAAAATAGACTAATTTCATGCTTTTTTACATCCATCATTAACATGCAAAAAAAAAAAATTTACTGAAACTTGATTATTATAAATCAAATGCAAAATCAATGATATCAACAATTTCAACATGTTGCCAAAAAAAAAAACCAATTTCAACATGTTAAGCCACGCTTTTCAAAGACCAAAGCAGCACAAAAATGCTTGAGTGGACTTTGATACAATGATGGATCTTGATAATTGATTGGAGGAGTCAATTAATATTATACTAAATCTTAATTTTTTATATAACATATTTTTATTATATTAGTAATATATATAAATATATGGGATAAGATCAATTTACATTAATGTAAAGGTTTTTAATTTTACATTTTTTTAATCTTTGATTTTAATGTATAAATAAGTTTAAAAAATAGTTTAATTTCATCCTTTAATTCCATTAAAATCTATAGTTAAAAAATATATATATCATTAAAATTTTACATTAATGTAAGTTGATTTTTTTTCTAAATATATATATGCAAGTAATATACTAACAAAATATATAAATTTTCAAAATTATTAATTTTATCGATTAATAAATCAAAGTATAAAGAAACATAATATATTGAATAAATAACTTTACTTAAAATTTTAAGCAATTTTCTTTTAGAAAAAAGTACAAATAAATCCATTGTTAAATAAAATTTATTTTTCATTAAAATAAAAAAAATAAAATATATCATTAAAAGAATAAACTTTGAAACTTTGATATTAGAAGTAAGGTTGTTTTTTCAACCTTTTATGAAGTGGTTTCAATATGGCTTTTGTGTTGAAAAAATTTGCATGAAAGCAAGTGAAAAAAAATTAATGAATAATTATATGAGTGGAATTATGGTTTTTGTGTTGAAAATATTTGCAAGAAAAAAATTTAAGGTAAAATTAAATGCGAAGAATTATATGGGAGGAATTGTAATCAACTAAAAAGCAAAAAATAAAATGTTTAGTATTAGATTGGAGACTTTAAAGATTTGTAAGCAATAATTAATTGATATAATAAATAAATAAATAGTAATATAATTTTAATACATCTTAAATTACAATGAATAAAACAAAATTATTAGATTACTTAAAAATAAATAAAATTAATAATTTTAGTTTGAAGTGACCATTTAATTTTATTATAATATTATATGTAAGAGGATTTTAAAATTTTGGGGGGCAAGTCCCCGCAACCTATACCTACCGCCCGCTCCTGTTTCAGTGTGTTTATCTTCTTTTATGGTGCAATGGCACGGTGATAAGTTATTTGGATACCATACTATCGATGCAATTGGATAAAAAGGATCTCATTGTGTTTCAAAATTTTCACTCCAAAACCCATTTCTCATAAAGGACCTTGCTTTTATTTTACTTTTGAAATTATAGTGCAATCAAGCTCCTTTCTCATTTTGTTCATTTTTTTTTTTATTTTTCAAACTTTATTTTGAATTAAAACTAATTATTATTTGGATATAAAAATAATAATTATCTTATAACTTATCATCAATTAATGTAAATATTTTATTATTAATTTTTTAAAAATATATAATCAACTTATTTATTAAATAAAATAATTATATAATAAATAAAAATTATATATAATTATATAAAAATAATTTTATTAAATTTCAATTATTTGTTAACTTTATAAATATTAAATATATTATAGAATTCATTGTATACCAATTTTAATATAATGTTGTTTATTTTTTCTTTTTCTTATATTTTATCTCACTATTACTGTTGCATCTACATCTAAATTTATATTTTATCATTTATTTTAATCTCACCATTATAATAATTAATCTCATTATTACAATAACTAATCTCACTACAATTATTATTTTCAATTTCATCGGCATCAATCTCATTATTAATCCAAACAAATCTTAAGTATTTTATCTCATTTTTCAAAAAATTAGTTAAGATTTAATTCTCAATTAAAGTATAAAAATAAAACTCCATATTTATCTTGGGTAAAAAAAAAGGAACTGAATCAATTATCTTTTCGTGCGTGAATTATCTTGAGAAGTCCAATAAGATTGGAAGCTCGCTGCCCCAAGAAGATTATATAAATTGAACTCCACAATGCTAAGAAGCAAATGTTGATTGATCATATGCTCAATATCTTACAGAAAGCAGCTAATGGGGACAAGTCCATCACAAGAAATAAAACTTTTTTACAAAGAAATTGTTCACAGAGAGTCTCACAAATACAAACTAAATTTGAGAAGGATTACAAATGAGAATTATAGTTGCTGGAACAGAGTTTGACGCATTAATTGGCAGCTTCCTCCGTTTATAGAAACACTTCGAACGGTCGCTTCCTTCCATTTAGCAACAATCCCTTCAATTTTGGCCCAAGCTTCAACGAACTGAAGGATAGCTGCACAAAATCAGCAATCAATGCTTCCCTAATTTCAAGCTCGGGTGATTTTGTTGGTAGTAGTTTCCTTCCCAACGGATATTAAGGTTTTTTTTTTTTTTTGGTGCCAAATGGGACTTCCTTGTTGGTCTAACTAGGCCTTCTAATAGCTGACTTGGCCGTTTCTTTAGTCCTCTACCCATAAAAAAAAATGCTAAACCTGTCAATAAGTTTTGGTGGAGACATCTCAATTGTGCCACTTGCTAAATATTGACTGCTCTATCTAAACGCCATGTTATTTCTGAAACGTGTGCCCCTGTAATTTTTGGGTGTAAACAGAAACTAATAGCATAAAACAGAATGTAACTTTTAACAAATGGTAGGAAGTAAAAAAAAGCTCAAATATTGCACCACCCAAAGGCATCATATGAACTTGAAGCACAGGAACCTAAAATTCATAAAATGCACGAAGAAAGCAAATGTAACAAATATAAAACGAATAATAACCACAGCACAGGTGTTCGGACCCCCATACACACTTTCTAATTTCCTATACTAGAAAATTAGAGTGCTAAAGTCTAACCAAAAGATATTGTGAGTCAAGCAGAAGATTAGATTGATAAAACGGTAATACATTCATCCAAAAGACAATGAAAATACTAACACTTAACAACACTGAAGCTTTTTAAGACCATCAGCTCAACTTGTCATCTGCAGTAGCTTCATTTCTATAATGAAGTATAATAATACAAGCCTAGGAAGCAGGTGATATCAGGTTAGTGGCATAACTTGGCTTGAAGAAGCACTTCAATCTGTTCCATCTAAGTTCTATGAAACATATGCGAATTAGTTTCCACGCCTTGCATGTTAACTGCAGTACAAGCTAGTAATAAGTAAAATAATCCCATTCGTTAAAATCAGTGCAAAATGGGAAATTTGATGCGACAAAGCAGCCTCCACTTTTACTTCAATTTTTAGCCTGCCATATATTCCAATATCTTGAATTAGAAATTTCTTCCCGTAAATCTTGTAGTTTACATGTAGTTGAAGCAAAAACATAAACCATACAAGTTCATCATGTGCACAAAATATAACACAAATACCTTAACCTACATAATTTATGGACTTGCTCAACACCTAAAGGGGATAAGAGAGCTTGGGAGTTATTACAAAAAAAAAAAAAAAGTAAAACTCACTTCATCCTAGAAATATTACGCATTTCCAACTTAGAAAGATGAAAATCATTGGACAAACATATTCTTTCAAGACAGAAGTTCCTGGAAAACAATAAGACACACTTTGAACCATCAAGCACGAGAATCTTGTAGGTAAGCTGGCAGATTAATGGCAAAGCTAGGAAACAATGCCAAGCTTGACAACTTCACATCTGACATATCACAATCTCCCTCAAGTATTTGTTATACCTCCAACAAATTTTTTAACATCTAAGGTGTAACAAATTTGCCATTTTGGCAGCAATGCACCAGACTTTAACTCTTTGCCAGTTTGGCTTCCAAGTAGGAAAACTGGCTAGCCAAATCCTTTCTTTTTGGCTACTATCCCTAGACATGGGTCGAATTCTTCAAAGAAAACGACCTAAAGCTCTTCTAATGATAATCTAATGTCAAACAGATATTACAATATGTGCTACTTTCTGTATAAAGTCAAACACAGGCAGGCAACATGCGAGTTAGGAGATAATACCTTAAGCCGAGGGGACCGACGCACAAATGGCGATAAAATATCTGATTTGGCTACTTTGTTGGGATGTATATTGATTTCTCCATCGTGAACTTGATTTTCATTTATGTTGCCTGGAGAATTACTTCCGTGGTTGACTTTCTTGAATTGCCTATTTAATTCTCCAAGTGGGATATGATGCTCATTTTTCTTGGCAGAAGATTCACTTCTGTCAGTTGAAACTGACAAAGCTGGACCAGACATAGAGATTGTGGAATAGTCCTGATAAAAACTTGTGAATTGAGGCTGCAATCCTGGAGTCATAAATGATGGAAGAATTTTATTAAAATCAATGAGTCACAACTCAGATTCGAGAAGCCACATGGAAAGAATTTTTATTTTTGCTCCCACATTACTAGCAATAAAAGAAAAAGTCCTCATCAAACAGGAACCATGCCCTTGAAATTGAGTGTCAAATTTAAGCAACCAGCATGGAGGGTGAAAAGAATAAAATGAAATCATACCAAGTGCTGCTGCTTCTTGAAACTTTTCTCTCATGATTCTAACAAATTTGAATAAGCCATTCGTTCTGTTCAACTCATTAATCAACTCTTGGATGCCATTCAATTGTGGATCGCATTCCAACACTTACGATCATGAGGAAGAAATTAAATAAAGATGTTAGAATACGTACCCATTTTGAGTATAGCTAATACATAATGAGGACATTACTTACAGGAGTAGGCATCATTTGCAAGACGAATGGTAAAAGAATATTCTTGCTTTGGATTTTTTATGTTTATATTATTGAATGTGAATTTCACCCCTAGATAAACAAGAGAGCAAGTAAGAAAATAACAACAGGGGCAACAAAGGGAATTCTAAATCTCATGCAACCAAACTATCTCACTTACCATGACCACCTTCAATCTGAAAACCAAGAACCCAGTTGTACCATGAAATAGCTTCTTGAATTTCTCCATTTTCTTCAGTTTCATGCTTAGCCTCCTCTTCAGTTTTTGACAAAGCTGCAGATAACATCAAACATAGAAAAAGAAAGAATGCACAGAATAAGCAGTAAATTAGGAGACCCTAAACCCACAACATGAACTTGCAAAAATAATTAACAAATTTACAAGAAATAATTAAAAGGAAAACAGGAATTAACAACCCAAATATTGTTCAGGAAATAGTAAAAAAAAAAAGGAAAATTACATATATTCCAGTAAAGTAGAGCACAAACGAGAGTTTTCATGTTACTCCTTCGCATGGAGCAGGTTAATTGGACCATTTAAGGAGCATGATAATCCAAAATAACACCCTGAAATATTTGCCTTTGCCACTCATAGGTAGTACAGATTCAAACGACTCAGCACCTCACATAAGAAATCATAGGCAAGTGCATAAAGACAGTACAAATGTAGAAGTAAAATTTCTTAAAAAAAAAGAAGGAAAAAAAAGGTAAGTACATCAAGGAATGGAGACCTAGCAGTACGATTGGCATGGCAATATATCCATAGCAACCTATATCTAATTGGCTTCATCAAAATCAGAATGTATGAAATGCAGTAGCCATCATATTAGAACTCTCCCTAATAATATTCTCAAAGCTCTAGTCCAACATAACCACCCGAAAAAACAACAATGACAGTGCAACACAGGAAGCTCTAACATTCAAAATTTTAGACTGTAAAACTGCAAAATTATAGTACAAGAACCATAAATATCAACCCAACCATGCAACACATGAGCCATAAATATGAAACCATCGTGCAAGAGTAGATAATTACCTAGAGATTGTTGAGATATAATTGCTCCATACTCATCCCTCCTAGCCCTTTGAACTTGGACAGTTCTTTTAAGTTCTTCTACTCTAGCTTTTATAGCAGATATTGAGTCCCTGGTTGCCATCTGCTTTGCCTCTTTACGGGTCTTCGCTATATAGCAACATAATAAAAGAACACGTATAAACCATTTAGAAACTGCCATAACTTCTGCTTTCCAATTCATAATAAATTGATACAAATTCAAACCCAAAAAAAAGAGTTGCAAATAGCGGGAGCAATTACCTGCTAAAACCTTGACAAGCCCATCCTCGGCTTCTCTCAATTTAGCTTTCAGTTTTGCGAGTTTAGCTGTAAAACAGCATAACAAGAAAATCCCTGAATTCACTATCTAAACCCTAGTTCTTTCGGAAACCCTAATTTCACTCAATTTTAGTATATATGTTAGAGAGAGAGAGAGAGAGAGAGTCTAAACCCTAAAAATTATATATATATATATATATATATATATATATCTATATAAGTGTGGTTACTGACCATGATTTTGGGCAGTATCCAGCGCCAGAGCCTTGATGGAATGAAGAGAAGTAGGAAACGACGCAGTAAAAGAATCTATCTTCTGTTGTTGGATCAGAACCTCCCTATCGCAGATCGTTCTCAGGGACTCCATTTTCGTCTTTGGAGATTGCTCTGTTTCGCTCTCCATTTGCGAGAGAGAGAAAAGAGACAGCGCTTTGATTTGAATGAAAAAGGGAATTGATTTTAGTTTTAGCCCGCCTTTTTTTAATTTTACTTTCAATTCTTTATAAATGGAGAGTAGCTTGGGATGAAAGAAGGACAGCAGATATTGGTTTTGAATTTTAACGGTTAAAGGATAAAAAAAATTTCATGAAATATAATTAAAAAATTATTTAAATTTTTATTTTTTTATTATAATTAATCAATCTTTTTAGTATTTATTTTTATTTAATTAAAATTTTATTTTATTAAAAAATTAATTTTTTAAATTTTTTAAATTAAAATTTTATATGATATCAATAAAATAAATAAATTAAGATAAAATTTTATGTAACATTAATAAAATATATAAAAATTTATCATATTGTATAATTAATATATGTAAAAATAAAATAAATATATTTTTTATTTTTTCTAAATTTCTCTCTTAGATTTTTTTAAAGGTATGACTATAGTTTAAGATTTATTTAATTTAACTAGATTTTTTAATTAAAAATTTAATTCAATCAAAATAAAAAATTAAAAAATTGATTGTAATAAAATATTAAAAATTTAAATAATTATTAGATTATAATTTTAAATATTTTTAACTCTTTAATTAATTTTAAATTTATTAAATGTCGTTAGTTGCATAAATTAATTAATGCTACTGAATTGAAAAACTTTTTTTGGGTGGTTTATTTCTTCTTCTTTTTTTTCATAGCTGTGCACTGATGACTTTGTCAATTCAGAGACTAAGAGATGATCCAGTCACAGCATAATCATAAAAATTTCATGCAATGGCATTGAAACAAGGACACGTGGTTTCTTAAATTATAATGATTGATTGACATTGTAAACGTACTTATTACTAGAGGTGTAAATGATACATTAGTATTCGTAAGTTATTCGGATTCGATTCGAATAAAATTTGAATTCAGTTTGATTATTATCGAGTTGAGCTCGAGCTCGAATAACTCGACTCATCGATCAAGTCGAATTTGAGTATTCTTATACTCATTCTAGTAGCTCGCGAGCTTAATCGAACTTTAAATTTAATTTTTTTTATTATTTTAATTAATAAAATATCTCAAATTCGAACTCGAATTCGAATACAAATAATCGAGTTCTTGTCGAATATAAGAATCGAGCTTATTTTTACATATTTTCAAGCTTAATCGAGCGAGTTTGATTAGCTTGAATTCGATCACGAATCGAGCTTGAGTTAAAAAAATGAAACTCGATCGAGTTCGAGTCGAGCATCGAGCGACAAGTTGAGAGTCAGACTCGAGTTCGAACTTCTTACTGTATCGATTCGATTCGACTCAATTACACCCTTATCTGTTACTTATCCAATATTTGAAAAGACTTTTTTATCCTCAATTTTATTTAAAAAAGTTTAGATAGATATTTAAAGCTTAAAAAAAAAAAAAAAAAAACACTACCTTCGACGGCTAACAATTAAAGCTTAAAAACAAAAAAAAAGACGGACCTACTGAATTCTTTGATCGAGTTAGAAACTTAAAATGTTTATAAGAAGATAAAATAGGTCTTAGATTTTGAATCAAGACCTTTTCTCTTCTTCCATGAATTTAAAGTCTATTAAATAAGCTTAAATAGACATTTTAAACATGTCAAATGAGCTTGCATAAAAATTTAAAATTCATTTAAAATTTAAACCAAACTTTCAACAAGCATTTTGAAGTATTGACCCGATTATATTTTATTATATTATATAATTATTTGTTATTTTATATATACTTTATATTAGTAAGCCTTTGGAGTTTCTGGAATTTTTTTTTTTTTTTTTGGAAATAAAGAAGTTTTGATAGATTATTATTATTCATTAAAATTAGCATCCATCAAAACATTAGCAGTAGACAATCGGGATTTTCCTCCATCAGAAATAGACAAACTAAATTTTGCGAAGGTATGAGCTGGCTCATTCCCTTCTCTTCATGGTGTGTTGAATCAAACAATCCTCAAAGCCCAGTAGTTTACATCTGCCATCAGATATAATTGGACCAATGCTTGAAAGATCATTAACAAAAAACGCCAGCTTCTTATTTATCACTAAAGCATCTCCTTACTATATTATTTTCCTACATCCCATCTGGTGTGCCATGTCCAAAGCTTTTACTGTTGCCAAGGCTTATGTAACACATGCTTCATAGGTTAAATTAATTCCCACAGCTGCTGCACCAAAACAAGTCCCTCATGATCTGCTTATCATGAGGGATGATGATTCCCATTACTCCACACTTGAGCTGCTTATCAAAAGCTCCATCAAAGTTCGACTTTAAAGTGAGAATTAGGTGGAGAGCTCCAATGAATCTAAGGTGGCTTTTGGTGCCTTATCATCTTTACAGTTTACATTCCAAATGGAATGTGGTTGCTGGGAAAGTAATTGTTAGGTGTTAAAATACTGAAAAAAATAATATTGCAACGTTTAGTATACATGGAAAAGTGTTTATTAAAATGCACTTTACTAGGAATATGATGGTAATTTCCAAATTACCCATACATGTATACAAACAAGTTTTATACAATGTCATATTATTTTAATGAGTTTTTAATACTAATTTCGTAGCATAAAAGAAAACTTGAATTAAAATACTAATTAAAGTTCTAATATTAGAAATTAATATATCCATATCACCAACTTTACATATAGATTTTATATAACATTCCCAAAGGAATCCTAAAGCAAAATATACAAAAGTTATAAGATAATAATAAGTCCATGGTAGCCATAAAAAATTCCTAATACTTAATACCAATCCAACAACTAGATTTTCCAAATGCTCTACATAAAAAATCCAACCTTGACATAAATCTTTTTAAGGTGATACGAATTTGAGAAAAAGTAGTTAGTCTTTGTATTTCAGTAAAGGTTTTGAATCGAACCTAAAAAGCTCTTCATCAATCAACTCTTCAATTTCAAACCCAAATATTAGATCATACACTTACATTTTTTGAACAATATCATCAAACATGTATTGAAAATAGTTGACCAAATTATCAATCTTTTCCTTTGCACCTTCACATATCTTACCAAGCTTCTCTATGTTATTAAGAAATGCCTTTGCTTTTTTTAAAAGTTTATCCATTAGATTTCTTTGTGTTGGATTATTTTTTCAAGCCACATCAAACTTACCTCGCACTACATTCCTTTTCTAGTACAAAAGGATGACTCACTATTGCAATTTAAATGCAAGACATTGACTCTTAAATGTTCTCCAAATTCACTTCATTATCATCATCAAAGTTTAGAGCATTTAATGCTTCAAAAGCACCTTTTTATTGCTGTAAATGTTGCTTCCTTAGAGTCTATATTCTCCACTACATAAACAAGTGATTCTACTGCTTTTTTTATTGCTCTATCATTCCCAAAGAAAATACTTAGTTTATCAAAATGACATAAAGGCTCATTTCAAAGTCCTATCATCCTAAGGACTCTGCATTCTAAATCTAAACATAAATGAAAACAATATCCAATATTTTCAATCAACCTCAATTAATAATTCAAGAAATTGATTTCACATAAAACTTTTATTATCTTAACCCATCCAGTCCAAACATTAAGCTCACAAGTAATACATATGTTTATATCTTTCCAACCAAAACCAAAAGTAGCATGATCTAATCTTTCAGCAACTTCTCGATATTATGACTTCAACAACCTTATTCTGTAGTGAATGTGTGGTGTATCCCTAATTTTGTAATTTGGGACCCTTTCACTCATCCATCTCTTAAGCTGCTGTAGGTAACTAGCCTAAAAGGTGTCATTATTTTTAATTCAACCTCCACGATTGACAAGATCTTTGCAGCAATCAAATAAGATGGCATTTTTAGCAATGTCCCATTAATGGGTGACTCTTTTGCTTCTTTCCTTACTTATTAGGATGATTCTGTTAAGAATAGTGACTCAAATCCCATAATAGATTTGTTTGAAATTAATTAAATATTATATGATGCACAAGATGACTTGCAGAAAAAGAATTTTAAGAAAAAAAAATTCTTGACAGGTAAGTTTGTATACTTATAAATAGGTGAAGTTTTTACAAGGTTAGATATGAAAAATATGTAAGAAAGTAGCAAGGTTTTATGGGATAGACACCCCATAGAACTACTAGATATTTATGTTTTATAGGTATGTATGTTTAAATATTTGTGAGTGAACTAGAGGAAACTGAAAGAGTCCACATAGGTATGGTGCATAAGTACACATGGGTATGTATTTTTTTAGGTTGAAAATACTCTATAGGACTAGAGTAGATTGAGAGGGTCTATGGGTATTGATTATTGAATGCTTATTGATATGATTTGTATATTTGTAATTCTCTATAACTAGTATTTTTTTTCATCCATAGACATAGGTTGGTTAGGTAGAATTACGTTAAATTACTGTCTATTGTGTCATTAATTGATTGTGTGATTATACTTCTAATGGCTTAATTAAATTTGAACTTTTCACCTAATAAGTAGTATCAGAGCTATCGTGATCTCAACAGTGGTATCAAGCGAGCTTTGAAAAGTACATGTTTATTTCTTAACAAATGGTATTAGATTAAGGTTCAAGATGTAGGAAAAGCTAAAAGTTGGAGACATAGGAAATGGTAAGCCCGAGGAGTTCAATTCAAGAGAAGAGTTTAAGTTCATGTTTTGGGATTAAGGATCAATTTGCTTAAAGTATAAAGACACACAAGAGAAGATTGTTATGAGACTTCTATTGTAAGTAGAGCCAAGCATGTCTAGCATAAAAATTAATAATTAATAGAACTTGAGTCAATGTGGATATTATTGGAAATAGTAACTTAAATCCTATAACAAATTTATTTGAGATTGATTAGATATTACTTAATGAACAAGATGACTTGCTGAAAAAAAATTTAAAAGAAAAAGAATTCTTGACAAGCAAGTTTGCATACTTATAAATAAGTGAAGTCTCTACAATGTTAAGTATGAGAAAAAAAAGTAAGAGAGTTATAGGATTTTATGGGATAAACATCCCATAGGACTACTAAAGATTTACGTCTTATAAGTGTGTATGTTTGATTGCTTGTGAGTAGACTAGAGGAAACTAAGAGGGT